AAGGTGAGGAATGAGTGAGGGGAAGGGTTTGTTTAGTCTGGAGCAGAGCAGTCTCAGTTGAACATGACAGCTGTTTTCAATGTTGGAAAAGCTGGAACAGAGTTTGTTTTCTGTAGACTCAGAGGGCAGAACTAGTTCTACTGGGTAGACATTGCAATTAGTAAGACTTCTGAGTGACTAGAGCTGTTCAGAAACAGAAGCGATTACGTTGCAAGCTACTGTGCTCCTCATCACTGCCCCTGTTTAAGCAGCTTCGGATGTGTCTTGGGGATGTTCTTGAGATACCGCATGGAGTGGAACACTGACCTCTGCATTTCTGTTCATGGCTGACAGTCTGTGTGTCTACCTAGCATCTGTAGAGAACTAAATGATGAATTGCCCGTCATTCATGAACAACCACTATTGGGCTTGCCAGGCGGGGAGGACGGGGGTCTTCCTTGGATCTTTTAAAAGCATCCTGCTGGTGGCCCTCTACTGCGCCCACTTGTAAAACTGGCCCCAGTGCCTTGATCTCCTGAACATAGTTTAAGAAGACAAATGTAATTTGGGTGGCTGGCCCAAGTGTCAGACATTGAACAAGTCTGGTCCTGTTGTCCCCAAAGCCCTGCTGTGGCTACATTCTGTCACGGGCCTTCCAGGGATGTCCTCCTTTTCTGGACTCTGCTTTTTCCCTCTTTATCAATGATGCATTCCCACATCAGACAGGATCTCTTCCTCTTCTAAATCATCTTTAAAATTTCACTGACCCTTTAAAGTGCTGGAAGGTAACTTCTGTCCACTGTCACAGACTGACAATTGTTTCTGGATGACCGGATTACAAAAATTATGAAGACACAGATAAAAAGAAGAAAATATAAACTCGAAGATGATCACCATTAAAATGCTGGTGTGTTGTGTATATTTGTGTGTGGCAGGAAGGGTCATCCTACCCCACCTCCTTTCATGGAGCCTCTGTCCTCCACCCCCTGTAGAATGTAATGTGGGAGTGGGGAGGTTAGCAGGAGCTGAGCTTGGGAGCTGAGGATCTGGCTGTTTCAGAGTGCTCGGCTGTTGCCTCTGCTCTTTCCATTTTCCCCTCAGAATCAAACCGTCTCCTACCCCCATCCTGCACCCAAAACAGACATGGCTGAAAATGAGCCGTAGCCCAACCCAAAGGCCACAGAAAAGATGAGGCAAGTTCCCGAGGAACAAGCAAAAGGGTTAAAGGGTCCTAACAGCTGCAAGGCCAGGAGGCAGGGAACCCCAAGGAGAAAGTTCTGGAAGGTGCTACTGCCTGAGGCAGGTAGAGCCCTCAGGGATAAGAACAGTGGCCTCAGGCCTGTGGCTGAAGCTTGCAGGTATTGTCTGCTGGTGGGGCAGGGCTAGTTGACCAGGCAGTGATGCAAATCTCAAATCTCCCATGCTGTGGACCTTTCTATGGATTGGAATACAGTGATAGACTCTGAAGAAATAACTGAACTTCTCTGAGATCCTGTGTGAGTTTGGTTAATACTAAGGCCATTTTGTTGCTCGCTTATTAAGTGAATCTCTCTTCTCTCTCTTCCCCTCCCCTCCACCCCACTCTCAGGAATTCCCGTTCCCCAAAAAGAGACGAGGTCAAGGGTGATGTTAAGAGCAGGTAATATCTGGCTTGGCAGGGGCCCCAATCAGAATGGAGATAACCTTTGACTTGTGCATTACGGGTGGTGTGTGTGTTCCTGGGGAACAGTCAGAGCAGCAAGGATGGGGCAATCCCTATTGATCTGAGTGAATAGAAATATTTTAACATCGTAACAACCAACAACTAACAGCTCTGAGCACAGTGCTGGAGTTGCACACATATATTTTTTCTTTACAAAACACAATCATGCCATATACAGTCGTGCATCACTTAACAATGAGCATACCTTCTGAGAAATGGGTCATTGGGCAACTCTGTCTCTGTGTGAACATCATAGAGTGTGCTTACACAAAGCTAGGTGGTGTAGCCAGCTATGCACCCAGGCTATATGGTGTACCAGGCTGTATGGCACAGCCTCTTGCTCCTAGACCACAAACCTGTACAGCATGGGCCATATAGAATACCGTAGGCAATTATAACACAATGGTAAGTATGTGTGTCTTTAAACACAGAAAAAACATGGTAAAAATATGGTATAAAGATTTAAAAAAACAGTACACCTGTATTTACCAGGTAGTTATGCATTTACCAAAAATAGAGTTTGCAGGACCAGGAGTTGCTCTGGGTAAGTTGGTGAGTGAATGGCGAGTGAATGTGAAAGCCTAGGACATTGCTGGACACCACTGCAGACTTCATCAACACTGTATACTTAGGCTGCACTAAATTCATAAAAAACTTCTTCTTTATTCAATAATAAATTAACCTTAGCTCACTATAACATTGTTACTTTATGAACTTCAAAATTTTTTAAA